CAAATAAAAAGGATTAAAAACAGTGCAGCTGTGATTTCATTACAGAAGACAGACTAATACTATAGTATGTGACACAGTGACAATGTCAATAAACAAAAGCTGCAGCACTGGAGCTGTACAGGAAGCTCAGCCAGAGAACAGCAACACGGGCAGCTCTTATGCAGCTCAGCCGCCCTGAAATTAATGCAGTTAAGCAGCCCAATGGAACGCAGCTTAAACGTTTGGAAAAGTGGAGTGTGAGTCAAATTCCTTTGGCTGGTTCAGGAAAAATGGCAGACCACAGAGCCAAAGCTGCTTTTTTCCAAGGGGGGGAAGGACCGATACTCTGACATTTTGGTGGGGAAAACATCACTCTGAAAATATTTAGCAAATAGAATTTTTCCCACTTTTGAACTTTGCCCAAAAATTCAAAAGTGTTTAGAATAAAAGAAATGAAAAAGAAATTAAAATACAGTGTAAAGCATAAAAGCAATATGGGGAAACTGATTATGGTGTATTCTGTGTGCCACCTCTGGCTTAAGCACTGAAGCTCCTTCATGATGACATTTTCCAAGATGATGTACGTGGTGTTTTTTCTTTTCTAATACTTCAGAGATTTTATCTTGTGGGATCCGGGAATTCTAAGGGCCCATGAGCTTTCATCAATGCTGTTCATCACACAGACACACACCACACACAGACCACACACACACTATACACCATATACACAGACACACACCACACACAGACCACACACACACCATACACCATATACACAGACACACACATCACGCACACACCACACACACAGACACCATACACACAGACGCTCACTACATATACAGACACACAGACACACACCACACAGACCACACACACAGACACCATACACACACGCACCACATACACACTACACACACAGACACACACACTACACACACAGACACACACACCACGCACACAACACATAGACCACACACACAGACACACACCACACACAAACAGACAAACACACAGTGCACACAGACATATACCACACACACAGACACACACAGACACACACAGACACACACAGACAGACACCACACACATACCACACACACAGACACACACACAAACACAAACATCGCCACATGGCTTCCTGTTTTTATTGAGGCTGGGCCCACTGTGCACACCCTTCCACATTTCACAAGTCTCACAGTCCTACAGCAGACCATTTTCACACACCAGAGAAAACGTATGGCCAATCACACTCCCCCAAAAAGTATTTTATTTAACACAGAAAACTAGGCCTAACTAACAACAATATTACATTTAACTGTAATAAACATAAAATAATAGTAATAATAATTATAGTACTATCATTTATCAGTTTACTCATCCTTCAGTCTATCAGATAATTTTTTGCCTCAGACACTTAAAAAAAAAGTTGGATGAATAATAGGAAAAATTTAACTTGGGGGGGGGGGGGTTAACATTTCCAGGCTTCTACATTCACTTCCACTACACATACAAACAGACCCCCACATCAAGCCCTTTCTCACAGCAGAAGGCCCCTGCAGGCCGAGAGACAGAGATGGCAGTGTGGGAAGGTGGCGGAGATGGAGAAGCACATTAGCCAGTGCGCCTCCGGAATGTTCCAGAATGTTCACCTGTCGAGCGGCATCCGTCGGGACACCCCCGCTGCAAGAGTGCGATGCAGATGGAGCCGATCCC